GGTTGTGATACAGCCTGGAATCGAACCAGTGGGTCTGTAGTGACGTCTCAAGCACTGAGATGCAGTGCCTTAGACCGCTGCGCCACTCGGGATCCCATTGGGCTCTATCTGCATAGAAGAATGGGAGAAACTCCACAAATACAGGTGTGCCAAGCTTGTAGCGTCATACCCAAGAAGACTCAATGCTGTAATCGTTGCCAAAGGTGCTTCAACAAAGTACTGAGTAAAGGGTCTGAATACTTATGTAAATGTGATATTTCCGGTTTTTGATTTTTTATAAATTAGCAAACATTTCTAAACACCTGTTTTTGCTTTATCATTATGGGGTATTTTGTGTAGATTGGTGAGGGGGAAAAAACAATTGAATCAATTTTAGAATAAGGCTGTAACGTAACAAAATGTGGAGAAAGTCATGGGGTCTGAATACTTTCCGAAGGCACTGTAGCCAGGGCATCCCATGATTATACAAAAATATGTCTGAAATGGTTCAAACAGACTCTGGGACAGTTCTGGGACGATAGATAAAAAATCCATACAACTAGGCCTACATTTTAGCAGACACTCTTATCCAGAGCAACTTACAGTTAGTGCATACGTTATTATTTTATTTTTTCATACTGGCCCCCCATGGGAATCAAACCCACAACCCTGGCATTGCAAACGCCATGCTCTACCAACTGAGCTACATCCCTGCCGGCCATTCCCTCCTCTACCCTAGACCAATTGTGCGCCGCCCCATGGGTCTCCTGGTCGCAGCCGGCTACGACAGAGCCTGGATTCGAACAAGGATCTCTAGTGGCACAGCTACTGTACTTTGCTCCGTTCATCTTTGTCTCGATCATGACTAGTCTCCCATGACTAGTCTCCCAGCCTTAGACCACTGCGCCACTCGGGAGGCTACATCAACAACAAAAATTCAAGCAATGAGGCTGATGCAACAGATCAGAACGTTTAGCTTAAAATGTTAACAAACTATTATTTCTGCACATTATAAGCGCACACTGCACACATAGAAGGCTATGCTTGAATGTTCCAAAATGCAATTTGAGGGAACGCGCCATTCTAAAAAGCACACTGGCACTGCACATGTGAGTGGTTTCATGTGACAAATGTTGAAAGAAGGGAGATCTACAGATGCAACGAGCAATATGGGATTGTGAATGCTGACTGCCTCCACTCAGATTGCAAGGTGGGTGATGATGTGTGCTGTGCACAACAGGCACTGGTCTTTCTCTCCGCTCGTGTGACCATTTGATCTGAATGAACTGTGCCTTGAGTCTGTCAACAGAATAAAGCGTTTAGATGTTAATATCAATTATCCTACATTATATTTGTCGAACATCACTGGCATTTAGCCTATATTTATGTCATTAAAAGTCTCATTAAAGTTTGGTTAAATTTTTTTACTTGTAGGATAATTATTTATCTTATTTATGCTAAATAGTTTTTGTGGTACTCAATTGGTAGAGCACGGCGCTTGTAACGCCAGGGTAGTGGGTTCGATCCCCGGGACCACCCATACGTAAAAATGTATGCATACGTGACTGTAAGTCGCTTTGGATAAAAGTGTCTGCTAAATGGCATATTATAAATATTATTCCCAATGTTGGCCTTTTCAGAGGCAGTTTTTTAAATGTGAACTTCTGGCTTGCTGTTGACAGCCCCATTTATGTATAAGGCTACTACTCTTATTAGACTTTGAAATCACTGTGAATTTTATTTATATTTTTTATTTCACCTTTATTTAACCAGGTAAGCCAGTTGAGAACAAGTTCTCATTTCCAACTGCGACCTGGCCAAGATAAAGCAAAGCAGTGCGATAAAAACAACAACAACAACAACAACAACACAGAGTTACACATGGGATAAACAAAAATATACAGTCAATAACACAATAGAAAATCTATATACAGTGTGTGCAAATGTAGTAAGTTATGGAGGTAAGACAATAAATAGTGCATAGTGCAAAATAATTACAATTTAGTATTAACACTGGAATGATAGATGTGCAGAAGATGATGTGCAAATAGAGATACTGGGGTGCAAATGAGCAAAATAAATAACAATATGGGGATGAGGTAGTTGGGTGGGCTAATTACAGATGGGCTGTGTACAGGTGCAGTGATCGGTAAGCTGCTCTGACAACTGATGCTTAAAGTTAGTGAGGGAGATAAGTGTCTCCAGCTTCAGAGACTTTTGCAGTTCGTTCCAGTCATTAGCAGCAGAGACTGGAAGGAATGGCGGCCAAAGGAGGTGTTGGCTTTGGGGATGACCATTGAGATATACCTGCTGGAGCGCATACTATGGGGGGGATTTGCCTAGCAGTGATTTATAAATGACCTGGAGCCAGTGGGTTTGGCGACTAATATGTAGTGAGGGCCAGCCAACGAGAGCGTACAGGTCACAATGGTGGGTAGTATATGGGGCTTTGGTGACAAAACGGATGGCACTGTGATAGACTACATCCAATTTGCTGAGTAGAGTGTTGGAGGCTATTTTGTAAATGACATCGCCGAAGTCAAGGATCGGTAGGATAGTCAGTTTTACGAGGGCATGTTTGGCAGCATGAGTGAAGGAGGCTTTGTTGCGAAATAGGAAGCTGATTCTAGATTTAACTTTGGATTGGAGATGCTTAATGTGAGTCTGGAAGGAGAGTTTACGGTCTAACCAGACACCTAGGTATTTGTAGTTGTCCACATATTCTAAGTCAGACCCGCCGAGAGTAGTGATTCTAGTCGGGCAGGCGGGTGCAAGCAGCATTCGATTGAATAACATGCATTTAGTTTTACTAGCGTTTAAGAGCAGTTGGAGGCTATGGAAGGAGTGTTGTATGGCATTGAAGCTTGTTTTGAGGTTTGTTAACACAGTGTCCAATGAAGGGCCAGATGTATACAAAATGGTGTCGTCTGCATAGAGGTGGATCTGAGAGTCACCAGCAGCAAGAGCGACATCATTGATATACACAGAGAATAGAGTCGGCCCGAGAATTGAACCCTGTGGCACCCCCGTAGAGACTGCCAGAGGTCCAGACAACAGGCCCTCCGATTTGACACATTGAACTCTATCTGAGAAGTAGTTGGTTAACCAGGCGAGGCAGTCATTTGAGAAACCAAGGCTATTTAGTCTGCCAATAAGAATGAGGTGATTGACAGAGTCGAAAGCCTTGGCCAGGTCGATGAAGACAGCTGCACAGTACTGTCTTTTATCGATCACGGTTATAATATCATTTAGGACCTTTAGCGTGGCTGAGGTGCACCCATGACCAGCTCGGAAACCAGATTGCATAGCAGAGAAGGTACGGTGAGATTCGAAATGGACGGTGATCTGTTTGTTAACTTGGCTTTCAAATACTTTCGAAAGGCAGGGCAGGATGGATATAGGTCTGTAACAGTTTGGATCTAGAGTGTCACCCCCTTTGAAGCTCCTGAGTGGCGCAGTGGTCTAAGGCACTGCATCGCAGTGCTAACTGTGCCACTAGAGATCCTGGTTCGAATCCAGGCTCTGTCGCAGCCGGCCGCGACCGGGAGACTCATGGGCGGCGCACAATTGGCCCAGCGTCGTCCAGGGTAGGGGAGGGAAAGGCCGGCAGGGATGTAGCTCAGTTGATAGAGCATGGTGTTTGCAACGCCAGGGTTGTGGGTTCGATTCCCACGGGGGGCCAGTATAAAAAAAATATGTATTCACTAACTGTAAGTCGCTCTGGATAAGAGCGTCTGCTAAATGACTTAAATGTAAATGTAAATGAAGAGGGGGATGACCGTGGTAGCTTTCCAATCTCTGGGGTTCTCAGACGATACGAAAGAGAGGTTGAACAGGCTAGTAATAGGGGTTGCTACAATATCGGCAGCTAATTTTAGAAAGAAAGGGTCGAGATTGTCTAGCCCAGCTGAATTGAAGGGGTCCAGATTTTGCAGCTCTTTCAGGACATCAGCTATCTGAATTTGGGTGACGGAGGGGGGGGGCATGGGCAAGTTGCAGCGAAGGGTGCAGAGCTGGTGGCCGGGGTAGGGGTAGCCAGGTGGAAAGCATGGCCAGCCGTAGCAAAATGCTTATTGAAATTCTCAATTATCGTAGATTTATCGGTGGTGACAGTGTTTCCTAGCCTCAGTGCAGTGCAGTGGACCTAGGTCATAGAGTAGACCCATGTTGGCATATCAAACCATTAAAAAAATAAGTCTTTTAATTTGGGATGGTTCCTTTTCAGTTTGGGACGATTTAAATTGCACTTCGGGACGATTCTGTGACTGTGATGAAAAACGTTATTCTCGAGTCATGTATGTAGCAAGCTAGCTAGCTAACATTGGCCAGAAAGTTAAAGTCAGAGGAGAGAGAGAGTGGTGTGCAGCGGCCCAGAGGTGAATACAGAGAGGAACCGATTAACTCCATTACTGACTATTAAATTATAATAGAGTGATATAATAGTAGTGATTGATTGATTAATAGTAGAATGAAATGCTCTTGATGTACTGGACTCATGATGGATCTCCTCTCTCTCATTTCTTTCCATCATCTAGAGGGATGGATGACTGGGACATCAGGCTGCCTGCAGCCACACATGAATTAAAATGTTTATGAAATCAAATAAACCAAAAAGCAAACTGTTGGGGTTTTTCGATTGTTGATGCTTTATGATTATTTTAGAGCAATGTGACTTGTATTAACACTATTTCACAATATTTCACATTGTGTTAACACCATTTCATAATAATGTTTTCTGGAGAAAAAAAACATACGTCTTAACCATTCACTATCAATCACTTCTATAGTTCAGATTCAATCATTTGGTGTGATGAACTAATAACAAAGGGAGAAACGCCGAGAATATTTAGATTGTCATTATGGAGACACCTATTGGACGAATGTGGCAACTCCTCTCTTGCGGCAGAAAAAAGGGCTCGTTTTTAGGCCTTGTGGGCGGGTTTTGAGTGGTCATTGACATTGGCAGAACATTTCCCTGCGCCCACTGTGTTCCTGAGATTGTGAAGATCAGCACCGGGGAAATGTCGAGGGTTTACATTGGAAGATTGAGCTATCGAGCAAGGGAAAAGGACGTCGAGAAGTTCTTCAAGGGCTATGGGAAGATACTTGAAGTTGACCTGAAAAACGGGTAACAAAATTAAACGCCTCGTCTCGTGTAGCTCAGTGGTAGCTAGCAGCGTTGTGATTGTGGCCTAGTCCTCGTAACCAGGCCCCAAGCCTCTTGAACCAGCGTTGAACGGACGTTTATTGAAGATTCTCATAAATTGCTTTAGTTTGATGACCTAGTTATTATATATTATTTACTTAGCTAGTTAAGAATTTCAAAAACGGTTTGCTACAGAAGCAAAGTTGGCTAACTTGGGTTAAGGAGTTACTGCTGTAGTTAGCGTCAAGCGTGTTTTGCTAGCTAAGGTGCTAGCGCACTTCATTGTCGTGTTTGTGTCTAGACGGAGTAGCCATGTTGTTAGTTAACAAGCCAGCTAGCGTTAGAAATTACTATGGCGATTTTTTCTTTGAATGAAATCGCAACCACGTGTCAGAAGAGGTAACTACATTGACATTTTAGTCATTTAGCAGACGCTCTTATCCAGAGCGACTTAGTTAGTGCAAACATTTTTCATACAGGCCCCCCGTGGGAATCGAACCCACAACCCTTGCGTTGCAAACGCCATGCTCTTATCAACTGAGCTACACGGGACTACTAGCTAGGTAACTTTAGTTACACGTTCATGAAATCTTCATAATTAAGCTAGCTAACTAGCATCTTCAAACAACAGTTGGGCATGCTAAATTGACTTAGATAACGTTACGATAACTATCTTAAGTTACCCCTTAACTGGCGGCGTGTATATACTGTTTATGTAACATAGCTAAGTTAGCTACAGTAGTTTGCGTAACAGCCAACGATAATAGTGCAATGCTACTGGCATTGTCGAACTTCCAGCAACTCTCATATTATGGTATCTGGTGGACGAGACAACATTTACAAGGCCAGTTACAAGCACTCTAGCCACCAGTAGGAATGACAGTCAAAGTCATTAACTATATACTGTAGATGCATGGGTCAAAGCACTGTCTTGACTAAATATTCTCTTAGCTAGCTAACATTACTCTAAACTACACCATACTTACAGGTGGAATTAATGTGGCCCCTCTAACACCCTGCAGCAGTAGTGGCACATTTTAGATCTGTGGCACATATGAGAAGATTATAAAATATTGCATTATGGTATATGAAATGGTCATTTGGGTCTGGCGTGAGTAGTTTTAACTAGTCACATCAGTTTGATCCCAAATCTGTGCCCCCTCATCTCTGGCCTAACATCCTCTGTCTCCTATGTGGCCCCCTCATCTCTGGCCTAACATACTGTCTCCTATGTGTAAAGGTATGGGTTTGTTGAATTTGATGACCCCCGCGATGCAGATGATGCTGTGTATGACCTGAATGGGAAAGACCTGTGTGGGGAGAGGGTTATTGTGGAGCACACAAAGGGGCCACGGCGAGATGGCAGCTATGGCTCAGGAGGAGGCGGTGGCGGCGGAGGTGGAAGAAGTAAGTATACAATGCAGTGGTGTTTTAACATTAGTGGGGATTTGAGATTGAGGAGGCCAACATGGCAGCCGCATAGTACGTGGGATAGGCGACTACTGCATGACATCTCAAGTTTGTCCTTGGTGGTTGTAGTTCATATAATTGGGTTCCTTTACATTAACATTTTGGTTATTTAAGAGACACTCATATCCAGGCCGATGTAGTCATCGCATTCATCTTAAGGTAGCTAGGTAAGACAAACACAATTTTATGTGTTTCAAATATAGTTAAACCTGCCACGTGCACCAGATGTCGTCCATTCTTTACCTAAGTGGTTTTACGTCTTGAGAAGATGAGTCTGAGTGCCATCTGTTCAAAGGCTTGTTGCTTCCTTGGTGATAGTAGTGATGGAAACGTAGTAAAATAAACACAAGCAGTACCATACTGGTTTCCATGGTCACAGCTGGCACTGTCATCCATAATCTGGGTTGTGTTTGGCTCTCTCCACGGTCCCACTACACTGTAAAAGGATGATTGCACCCCTTTTATGATTATGACAAATTGCGCCAAAGTTTTTCTGTTTTTAGAGGACATTTCTACATAAAGATCGCTCCCATTTGCTGTAATTTCAACTGGTTTCAGGGAGAAGTGGTTGCCATTGTTCTGTCCCCACTCTGTTTAATAGGCCACACGTCGTCTCCTTAGCATACAGGTGTGTTGGACAGGTTGCCGGTTAGGGAACCACCTTTTTTCTCTAGCGTTCACGGAGCTCGTAGTACAGACCGAGGCCTTCATGGTACTCCACAGTAATTGTTTGACTAATGGGTGTAGAGAAGACATTTTACACCCGAGTTGTTGAGGGAATTCAAATTACATGCACCACTGCCACCAATGACATGCCGTTATCTTGGGAGCCCGTATGCTTGATTGTAACTGTTACAGGGAAACAAATGCACTTGTGTTCATTCGCTTGATTGAAACTGTTACAGGGGAAACAAATGCACTTGTGTTCATTCAAATTGTCGGGGGAAACTAGCTTGAGATTTACTACCGTAGAATATTTGCTAGGAAAATGTTCTAATGTGATTTGAATATAATAAATTAACTAGCTAATTTGTTTTGAGTAATTTGAGAATCTTGTGTAATCTACTGTTTTATTCAGGAATATTTTATTTTTGTTTTAATTAAATGAATGTTGAATAATAAAGGTAAAGATTTAACAAAGAACCTCCAATGTTTTAATTAAAAGAGTCCTTTGCTGACTGCCTGCCCCTATTGCTGGCCTGGCCATGGTGTCCCCTTTCCAACCAAGAGTGTGGTTTGACCATTCTGGGTCCCTGGGCAGACCAAAAAAGGGAGCCATTGTGAATGAAGACCGCTTGTCCCATTAGTCCCAGGCCGGGTGGTGAGGATGCCATTGGGTTAGGAACAGATGTGGGTTGAGCTCTTATCGGTGCCTGAAACAAATGTGAAATGTCTATATATTTAGATGTGCTAGTTAAAAACTTAAACTTTTAGTGTCACCGTAAGTACTGTCTTCAGTCAGTCACATAGTTTTTTTTTTTATGTAGCTTTTCATTTTGATTTAAGTTCGTATGTAGAGTTTTGTATTCAGTTCTACCCAAACTTGAATCAGGTAATGATTTAGTTGTTTAGATCTTGTTGAAGAGAAGGGATAGGTAATGTCAGTGTTCTTGATGGAAAATGTGCAGAGTTTTCTAGACCAGAGTAATGTACAGGTTTGATTTTCTTTCCCTTTTTATGGATAGCTTATTTTGTCTTTACCGCCCCCCCTCCATTTTATAAGTGGTCATTTGTTTACAGAATGTAGCTTGGAGTTTAGTATTGAGGCTGTCCTCTCAGTGTGTCCCCTGCCCTAATTGTTGCTGCTCTGTCCTTGTTACCTTGAAGGCGGGGGAGGGTATGGGCGTGGTGGCAGAGACCGATATGGCCCACCAGCAAGGACAGACTATCGGCTGATTGTTGAGAATCTGTCCAGCCGCTGCAGCTGGCAGGACCTGAAGGTATGGTGACGGCGGGTTATTCAGCAACGCTAATGATAACACTCTCTCTTCCTTATGATTTCTGCATCCTACGTTTAATGTTCGAAGAGAGAAAAACATATGATCCTTTTCCAATATTTTTTTTACATTTTACATGTACATTTAGTCATAAGGTCAGTGTTGGGGTAACGCGGTAGAGTACTCTGATAACTTTTTTTTGTTGTTGTGGTAACGAGTAACTTAATGCGTTTTTCAATTTAAGTAATCTGTTGCTTAGTTACTTTTTATAGAAGGTAAAGTAAAAAGACAATATTTGTACCTTATTAATTGCTGGTACAGCCAGTTATAGATTATAGATTACGGACGAGGCTATGCAATTCAAAGGTAGTAGGCACCATCTACTGAACATAAGAATGATCAACGCACACAAGATATCTTTAGAGGGGTTTCTGGTAATGCAAAAGTAATGTAATGTGTTACTTTCCACAGTAAGTAACGTAAACAAGTTACCTCTATTGGAAGTTAACATAATGAGTTTCAAAAGTAACGTTTCCAATACTGCATAAGATCCATGGCACTATCCACTGAGTTTTTAAAACTACGGTGCCAATAAATCAGCACAAACTACTTTTTTTCATTTTATTTCTGGCGTCTTGGAGCTAAAGTTGGGTTCATGTGTGTATACCCTGCTAATGACAGTACCAAAACAGAGTGAAGGAGAGCAATGGACAATACAGCGAACTTAGCAAGACTGGCAGTTTGTGGTTAGTGTATGGGGGGGGCTGCCATCTTTTGGACCTCCGCTATTGTCATGCTTGAGCAAACTTTTTATGGCGATGCATAAATCTCAGATTTCCTGCAGTTTGCCCCAGACAAGTACATATAGAATGCATATATATATAGAATGAAAACATGTCTAACATATACAATATTAAATGGCGTATATAAATTCAATAGGATCTTTGGTTTTCTCACCTAATGCCAACCTTTCCCTTCCTTCACCAGGACTACATGAGGCAGGCGGGTGAGGTGACGTATGCTGACACCAATAAGGGGCGCAGGAACGAAGGGGTGATAGAGTTCAGGCTGTACTCTGACATGAAGAGAGCCCTGGAGAAGCTGGACGGCACCGAGGTGAACGGCAGGAAGATCCGGCTGATTGAGGACCGCCCGGGGGCCAAGCGCAGCAAGCGCTCCTACTCTCGCAGTCGCAGCCGCTCCCGGTAAATAAGAATGAGGGAGGGGGGGCGGGCTGCGTCCCAAACGGTTCTCTATAGTGCACTACTTTTGACTAGGGCCCATAGCGTGTCCCATAGGGCTCTGGTCGAGAAGTGCACTATGTAGGGAATAGAGTGCCATTTGGAGCACACAGACTGGCTTATCTACAAATCATAATGAGTAGTTGTATGAAATTATGCAAGATGATTTGTAGATCGGTCTCTTTGATCAGGCGACTGAGTAGAATTTCTCCTCTTAAACATGGACTATGTAGTCAAAGGGATGTGGTGATTTCAGTTGCCCCCCCCCCACCAAATGTATTGTTTTCCCACCAGTTCACAATTAAGGTTCGCAATTACATTGGACTGCATGTCACCCCTAACCCCTCAAGCTTCTTCAAGGTACATGGCTTACCTTGAACATACGTGGTCCTCCCTCTGTCCCCAGGTCTCGTTCCAGGAGCCGTAGGTCCCGAAAGAGCCGCAGCCGAAGTGAGAGCAGCAGCCGCTCCCGCTCTAGGTGAGGCCCGGAGTGCAGTCAACGTTTAACTCATAGACCCATACCCAAGGGTGACCCCTGACCTTTTTAATGTCCCCCCCCCCCCCCCCAAAAAAAAAAAAAAAGATTCCCTATGTAGCACACTACTTTTGACCAGGGCTTGTAGGGCTTCGGTCAATAGTAGTGCACTATATAGGGAATAGGGTGCTATTTGGAACACACACGTAGTCATTTTTTTTTAGGGAAGTCATTGTAGATGTTTCTTTTGGATACTTGTTGCACTCAAGTGACATCAACAGTAACTTAAAAAAAAAAATATCTATTTACCAAGAGCTCTTGCCTAAATATGGACCTTATGTAGCTTCCCAGATGTCCTGACAGATGTCATGACCAGCTAGTGCTAGGGGCGGTGGCTATTTTTACATTGCTGCAGTTCAATTACGTTTTAGTTAACTGGTTGTATGTCTGCGCCTTCCTATTTCCCAGGGGTGCTGCCTCCCGCTCACGTAGTCGCTCCCACAGCAAGAAGGACAAGACCAAGGGCCGCAGAGAGGAGGAGCGCACCAACGGTACCCACAAGGCCAAGGAGGGGCGCGGGGGCCGAGAGGAGGGGCGCAGCAGGAGCCGCAGCAAGAGCAAAAAGAGCACCAAGAAAGAAGGGAAGAGGAACAGGAAGGATGAGTCCAGGTCCCGTTCCCGCTCTCGTTCCAGATCAGGAGCCAAGGATTGCTCCAGGAAGTCCGGCTCGAAGACCCGCGAGCCGGCCAAGAGCGACGATGAGGGAGCTGCAGCCGAGACGGGAGCCCCCCGCTCTCGCTCCCACACCCCTGCCGAATCCAAAGCCAAATCCAAGTCAAAGTCCAAATCTCCATCTCCCTCCCCGGCCAAAGCCCATTCCCGTTCCCCCTCAGTCTCCCGCTCAGAGTCCCGCTCCAAATCTCGCTCCGCGTCTCGTTCTCGCTCCCGCTCTCGATCACAGTCCTGAGCTGGGATGGCAACATCAGCCATCCATCGTGTCCCCCCCCCTCCCCCCCCCTGCGTCTGGCCCTTTTTGTTTTTTGATAAATAGTTGTAGGTGAAAAAAAAAAACAGGCACACACTCTTCCTCATTTCTTATAAATATACAGTGCTTGTCGGTCATTCTGCATCTTTTTCCAGTAGTTGTCTCTTAAATCGAGGTATTTGTAAAATATTAAATGTGTGAAATAAGTTTGAGGGTATTTGCTTGGATAGATTTTTATAAGTTGAAAAGGAAATGTTCTGTAGTAAGTGTCTTAACCTTTGTATCAATACTAGCATACCGTGCTGTCAATGTTGTGCAGGGTGGGGGTTGTTTTTATTCCATTGTTGCATCTTTTCACTTTGTGGGAAATCCTTTAATCAGTTACTTAAAAAATAAATAAAAAAGCCTGATCTGGAATGATTTGGAGTTGTCTTTGTCTTGTTGCTTAAATAAGATTTGAATAATAATAGTATTTACCCTTTAGTGTGTGTAATTTACTGTATTTACACCATGGATATCGCTTCTCTACAGTACATTTTCAAAAATAGCTGGAGGATGTCTTGAAGTTAAAGGAAAATTGCCAAATTGTTGTAGTTTTGTCACTGACATTAGTGCAGTTGTCACAGAAGACATTTGGTTCTGGGTGCTGAGATCAGTGCAGTTGGAACTTACTACCACTAGCTTGGTCCCAGATGTGCTATCATGTCAACTTCTTGTCACTCAGAGTACCACAGTATGAGTCATAATACCCATAAAACCTAGCGGTCAAACAGGGAAATGGTCCCAATAGTTTTTCCACCATTCATTTTTCCAATAGGGGATTTTACCCTGGTGTGACGTTTTTGATAAGTGTAAATCTCTGGAGGACAAGGTGACATCAATATATTTGCTTGTATTCAACAGCAAAAAATGAAACACTAATTAGCATTTTCGATTCAGAGTAAATGGAGCCGAAATATTATGCCTACACGAAACACAGCCCTTATTTTAAGTGTAAAAAATTCCCTATGGGGAAAAATGAATGGTGGAAAAACTATTGGAACAATTTCCCTGTTTGACCGCTAGGTTTTATGGGTATTATGACGCCTCTGTGGGGCTCTATAGTCATGCCAAACGCAATGCAATAACATGTTTGACGTGACAATGAGCGATAAGGATTTGGTACGCGAACAATCAGACTGGCGACCAGGCTTCCACACAATTATCACGGCAACAACAACTGAAATGGTTACCTATGGCGGACCATAAAGGTTTGGTGTATGTGCCCCTGCTTAGCCACAAGATGGCATAGTACTAATTAGACAGTATTCCATCCATGTTGACAAAAAGTCCCTCACTGTCAATGAAATAAGTATTCCTTAGCGATGAGAATAATGAGTAACCATGGGAATATAATTGATGTCCAAGTTCAACCTATGTTTTAGTTCTCACAATTAACTCTTGATTAGGGACATATACAATTGGCATATTTATCACATTTAACCCAGGCACCACAACTTCACCATCAATTATATTTAAAGACCTGTATGAGTGGAGGCCTCTTCTGTTTCATGTCACGCAAAGCATGTAGAAATGTGAATTGTTTTAAGATTGTATAAATAAGCTTAGCCTAACATATTCGTCCATGGATGGATGTATGTAGCCTATTTTAAAATACTTTTGAGACCACTTCTAATAGGCTACGATTGAGATGGTCGGTCGGTCAATCAGTCAACAGTGAGCATCTCACCTATTAGGTCACTAATAAGTCTAAACTCTCCTTCATGCCTGCTGCTATCAGCTTTCTCAATACGCTGTAGTACTGGTAGTTGTGCGCATATTGCTGTATATATATTGTTATGTGTTCCCGTTTTTTTTTTACTACGCGCTGCAAAATGAATTGCCCGCTGGGGATAATAAAGACTACTCTGCTGCATACATCATTATCCAAAATGCACGGGTAGACATTAGGCAACCGCAGCCTACTCAAATGCTCCATTTCTACGGAGGAGCAGTGCGCATCGCATCAGGGTTCGTGAAGGAAAGGAGGCGCCAAGGAAAAGTAGCAGTGGGAATTCGGCCAGTTTTGTGAGGGGGGCGGCCGCATGTAGCGTAATTTTTGGATAATGCTTTTGAAAATGCCAATTTCCCCGCAGTAACAAACGACAACTAAATAGGCTATAGAAACTTACTGAATAAGAGACGGAGCCCATAGGAGACGGCGAGCAGCAGAACCACGCACATCCTTGATCCATCTGTTTTGGATTAAATTATAGGCAAATTAAATTGCTTGACGGAAATCACATGAGGGAACAAACCAAACGATACTGTATCGATATGTGTCGGGGGACAACGAATACAACCGAAGAATACGGCATCAAAGGCAAGTAGCCTATAACTTTCCCCGGTAACCTTCAAAAGTAGCCTAGGCTCTCACCCAGCCGGTATTTGAACGATGATTATTACAATGAGAGCGTCAACTTCAGACAATTGACGTTAAAACATTGTAGCAGCCTTTTCTGGAAGGTCAGAAGAGAGAAATATTTTATTTTGTCACACCGCGCATCTGCTGAAGTTCAAGACAATCAGTGAAGCTGTCACGGTCTGGTTTCCCCTCACTATTTCAACTGTGGGTTATTTTGGAGATTGTGTATTTAGAGGAAATTAAGATCGCATTTTCCCGCGCAAAACTTAATCAGCTAATTGAGACAGGCAATGTATCAACAGTCAGCACCGAAGGAATGCAACACTGCTCCATCGTTTTTGTTCCTTCCGTAGCCTGCTATGACGCGACCGACATAGAACCGTTATTTGCCGGGGTGGGGTGTTGCATATCTGTAACATTTTACCATTATGGGACAGGTATGATATTATACAGGATAATTGGTCAAGTAGTCGAATACCATATAGTTAATTTGGAGTGCGCGTAATACCATTTTGCACGCAATATGTGTAGGCTAAGTTATTGATAGGATAATCAATGCAGATAAAATATAATAACGGGAAAATATTGCAAGCATGACGCATGCATTTACTCCGACATAGTATGTGGACCTCTTTTGCATAGTCAATGATCTTGGCAATCATCAAAATAATGATTTGCCCAGCGTCGTGCACGTCTAGGAACAGGATTGAGAGGGTATGTCGACATGGGGAAATAAAACATTGAAGTAAAACATTAAAACGCAGAAACCGTGACGACTTCAATTTTGAGAGTAGACTGTCACGTTCAGATTGCCCATGCAAAGGTTCATTCTCTCCCTGCTATAAGTGGCTGTCTTGGGACCGAAGGCACTTTAGCTAATTATATAACCTAATATATCTCATATAGAATTCAAACCCGTAGATTGATCTTATTCCAATGTTATGTAGTACTGCTTGTGACTTAATGCCAGTGTTTGGCCATACTCCACATTCCTGACTGGGTAATGGAAGGTGAGGTCTGGTTTGCCTTGCTCATTTATGACAACCATATCAGTGGCCATATGAGCAGAGGGAATGATCTTGCTCCAGGCAACTAGAGAGAATGATCTTTGCTCCAGGCAACTAATAATAATAATAATATGCCATTTAGCAGACGCTTTTATCCAAAGCGACTTACAGTCATGCGTGCATACATTTTTTTGTGTGTATGGGTGGTCCCGGGGATCGAACCCACTACCTTGGCGTTACAAGCGCCGTGCTCTACCAGCTGAGCTACAGAGAACCACAACTAGAGAGAATGATCTTGCTCCAGGCAGCCAGGCAACTAGAGAGAATGATCTTGCTCCAGGCAGCCAGGCAACTAGAGAGAATGATCTTGCTCCAGGCAACTATTCTCAGAACTATTTACCTGCTGTAATGCTTTCATTTGGACTATAGCTGAGGTAATTCAGTATCAGCAGCTTTTAACTATTCAGATCACCCAGATGGGATTCAAACCTACAACCCTCTGGTCTGGACACAGTCTGGTATCCAACCCCTGACACTGGTCATAGTAGACTCCTTCGTCCCGTACACTGTCAAGTTGTACAACTGATGTACAACGCATTTGACACAATAGTTGTGAGTTTTTCTGCAAAAAGAGTATTAGGCCCTACACAAGCATTGTGGAAACAATGGTTGTGTAGACATTTTTGTGCAGACAAAGGGTGTTTCTCAATATGCATACTACCGCGCTCCACACTCCTATGCTCCTAGTGCATTCTCTGAAGACGTTCTCTTGAGTACGTTCTTGTGAGGACGAGAGTGTGGAGAACTCATAAAACATTACATTTGAGAAGCGCTCGCACTTCTACCCTAACCCTAACCCTAACCTCACGCTGCACCTCCCCATTCACTGAACCTTCTTCCAGCCAGGACCATGACAACAATAGAGACTAAACAAGATATACACAAAGCAAACATTTTACTTCATGATTATCAGCTAGCTATATGTGAATTGAAATAATCTAGCTAGCCAGCTAGTTAAACAGTCAAAAATGAACCAAAACTAATGTTGTGCAAGGTAGACGTAAACTGTTCGTGGGTAGCTAGCTACCAATTCTTTGTGGCTAGCTAGCTAGCCAGTTAGCCCTATTGAATTACTATGGATTTACCCATTCACTGAAACGTCTTCCAGACAGGACAATGGCAATAGAGACGAAACAAGATATACATTAAGCAAACGTTTTACTTCAAAACTATCAGCTAGCTATATGTGAATCGTGGGAATGTAGCTAACCAGATTGTTGAACAGGCAAAAATGACCTTAAAACTAAAGGGTAGATGTCAATTCTTTGTGGCTATCTGGCTAGCTAACAGTAGTCATTAGCCCTATTGACTTACTATGACCTTGTGATTTACGCACACTACAGTGGGTCTACGGTGTAGGCAGGTAAACGTGGCAAAATTAACACAGCATGTATTTATTAACGTATCGAGATACAAATAATGTAGTCAGGCAACATATGAGATGTGATTAGGCAACATTTCATTCTGAAGTCGGAGTGTATTTTCTCTCGCTTCAACTCAAATAATGGCCG